CTCACCACTTCTATTCACTGTAGCACCAGAAGACCTAGCCAGAGCAATTATATTACATACAAATGCAGAAACAAACTATAAACTGTCTATAATAAATGTGCTATAAATAGGAAGACATAGATATGTAAATATTCAACAAATGGCAAAGGCTACAAACAAAATGAAAGAAATCTGAAATATATACATTAATCACAGGTGCACAGGCCTCAGAACAAGAAAGAATATGTGTGTAAAGTGAAACATTCAATAATAAGAGGGCCAATCTCTAAAATAACTGAATTATAAATGCGTATGGCTCTTAAAACAAATAAGCTTTGATACCAGAAGAGAAAAAAATACATCCGAAAATGCAAGAAATAAAATCTACAATTACAGGACCTGCATTAACTAACGTGCATACACCTTACCTCACTGCTATGGCTACTGACATGTGCAAGGGAGAATGGATCCCACTGTCAGTGCCCTGATGAAGAGGTTTGACTGGAATCACCCATCAGAGTGTTGTGGCCAGTGGACTGGGGACATTTCAGCCTCTCCAGCACAACAGGTTTATAATCTCAAGAGGAGAATAAAAAAGTCAGGGGCCTGATAACAGCCCCCCAGTGTTAGAACATGTAGCCCACGAGTACTGACCTGAGCTTTGGCACCTTAAAATCGTCAAGAAAAAAAGTCAGTTGACTGAACCCACATTATACCACAATCAAACCTCTAAGACCATCAAAGAAAATAGAAACAAACAAACAAAAAAGATCCAAAGGACAACAACTTCAAAATTGAAGAAACAAATGCCAACACAGATAAGAAAGAACCAGCACAAACACTCTGGCAACTCAAAAAGCCAGAGTACCCTCTTATATCCAAATTACCACCCTAGTTCCCCAGAAATGGTTCTAAACCAGGATGAAATGGCAGACATAGAATTTAGTTTATGGGTTAGAATGAAGATAATTGAGATTCAGGAGAAAGTTATAACCTAATTGAAGAAACCAGAAAAATACAATAAAATAATACAGGAGTTGAAAGATGAAATGACTCTTTTAAGAAAGAACCAAACTGAGCTGGTAGAGCTGAAAAACTTACTTTAATAATTCCATATTACAATAGCAATTATTAACAGCAGAATAGACCAAGCTGAAGAAAGAATCTCAGAGCTTAAAGGCTAGTTCTCCAAATTAACTCAGTCAGAAAAACATGAAGAAAAAATGATAGAATAAACAAAATATCTGAGAAATATGGGATTATGGAAAGAGGCAAAATCTATGATTCATTGGCATCCCTTAAAGAGAGAAAGAGAAATAAAGCAACATAAAAACAACGTATTTGAGGATATCGTCCATGAAAATTTCTCCAACCTCACTAGAGAGGTCAATATTTAAATTCAGGAAGTAAAGTGAACCCCTGATAGGTACTGCACAAGATGGCCATCCCCAGGACACATAGTCATCAGATTCTCCAAGTCTGAAATGAAAGAGAAAAGGTTAAAGGCAGATAGAGAGAAGAAGTTGGTCATTTTCAAAGGGAATCCCATCATGCTAACAGTAGATTTTTCATTAGAAACCCTATAAGCAAAAATAAATTGGGGGCCTATATTCAGCATTCATAACGAAAATAAATTTCAGCAGGCAAATTTATATCCAGCCAGGCTATGCTTCATGTGTGAAAGGGAAAAAAGATCATTTTCAGTGAAGAAAATGGCAAAGTGATTTTTAACCACTAGATTTGCCTTGCAAGAGACCCTAAAGAGAGTCCTAAACATGGAAGGGTAAGACTATTACATTCCACCACAAAATCACACTTAAGTCTATAGACAATTGACATTCTAAAGCAACTAGACACTCACATCTATGAAATAACCAGCTCACAACGTGATGACAAGAGTAAATCCATACAAATCAATATAAACCTTGAATGTAAATAGGTTAAATTTTCCAATTAAAAGGTACTTGGATGAAGAAACAAGATGTAATTGAATGCTGTCTTCAAAAGATGCATTTCACACGTAATGGCATTCATAGACTCAAAATAAAGAGATAGACATAAATATTCCAAATATATGTGCACCTAACACAGGAGCACCTAGATTTATAAAACAAGTTGTAGAGCCATACAAGGAACTTAGATAACCATACAATGATAGTGGGAGAATTTACACCCCACTGACAATATTAGATGGATCATCTAGACAGAAAACTAACAGATATTCAGAACCTTAACCAAGTGGGTCTAACAGATGTCTACAGAATCCTTCACACAGAAACAATGAAACATACATTATTATCTTATATGTATGGCACATACTCCAAAATTAACCACATAATCAGTCATTAGCAATTCTCAGCAAATTTTTAAAAAGTAATAATAATAACAACCACACTCTTGGACTACAGTCCAATAAAAATAGTGATCAATACTAAGAAGTTGGCTAAAAAACATACAATTAAATGAAAGTTAAGCACCTGCTCCTTAATGACATTTGAATAAACAATAATTAAGACAGAAATAAAAAAATTAAAATTAGTAGAACAAATGTACAACATACCAAAATTTCTGGAACACAGATAATTCAGTGTTAAAAGTTTACAGTGTTAAATGCCCACATCAAATAGTAAGTTAGAAAGATCTCGAATGAGCAACCTACCATCACACTTAGAGGAAGTAGAAGAATAAAATAAAACAAATTCCAAAGCTAGCAAAAGACGAGAAGTAACCAAAATCAGAGCTGAGCTACCTGAAATAGAGATGCGAAGAAAAAATTTATAAAAGATAAATGAATCCTGTACTTGGTTCTTTGAAAGTATAAATAAGATTAATAGAGTGTTAACTAGACCACTAAAGAAAAAAAGTGAGAGGATCCAAATAAACACAATCAGAAACAACAAAGGAGACATTTGCTCTGACCCAACCAAAATACAAAAAAAGAAAACCCTCAGAGAATAATGCAAACACCTCAATGTGCAGATACTATATAAAGATGTACACTGTGACACCAAAAAATATAAAATGTTTCATGAAATGGAGTAGAATTGCTGAGGTTTTCTTCTGTGAATAAATTTAAGCTGTTGTCAGCTTAAAATAGCCTGTTATATACATGTGCCATATTGGTGTGCTGCACCCATTAACTCATCATTTACATTAGGTATATCTCCTAATGCTATGACTTCTCCCTACCCCCTCCCCACAATAGGACCCGGTGTGTGATGCTCCCCTTCCTGTGTCCAAGTGATCTCACAAACCTGCACGTTGTGCACATGTACCCTAGAACTTAAAGTATATATATAAAAAAAAAATAGCCTGTTATAACTATCAGGTGTTCTATGAAACCTCAAGAAACCACAAAGCACAATCCTGTAGTATATAGGGAGAAGATAAAAATAAGAAATCAAAAATTATTTCTAGGGAAAATCACCTAATCACATAGAAGATAGTAAAAGAAAAAAAAAGGATAAAGCATCTACAAAACAATCAACAAACAATTAACACAATGGTAGTAGTCTTTAAATATCAATAAACAAATTAAATCTAAATGTATTAAATTCTCTAATTAAAAGTCAAAGAGTGGCTGAATGGATTAAATACAAAACAAAACTAGACCCTACGGTATTCTGCCTACAAAAAAACTCACTTCATATTTAAGGACATACCTGGATTGGGAACAATAAACATGAATGTGAAAAAAAAATACTCCACACCAATATAATGAAGTACAAGTAGCTCTACCTATGTCAGTTAAAATAGAAGTCGAGTCACAAACTGCAAAAAGAAACAAAGCAAGTCATCATACAAAGATAAAGGAGTCTATTCATCAAAATATTAAAATAATTGTAAATATACATGTGTAAAACATTAGCACACATAAATATATAATGGAAATATTAATAGCTCTGAAGTGACAGACAGTTGGTGACACCATAGTAGTAGAAAACTTTAATACCCCACTTTCAACAATGGATACATCATTCAGACAGAGAATAAATAAGATCCCAGTAGAAACGAACAAAATAGTAGACTAAATGAAATAGACATATACAGAACATTCCATCCTACAATAGCAGAATGTACATTTATTGCAAGAACACATAGAACATTCTCCAGGATAGATTCAATGTTAGCCTGGAAAAAAACATGTTAACTAATTGAAAAATATTGCAATTATATAAAATATGTTTTCTGATACTGATGATATTAAACTGGAAATCAGTAACAGAAGGAATTCAATAAAATACAAATAGAAATCCCTGAAACATAATCCTACAAAAGAGCCAATGGATAAAAAAAAATCCTGGAGAATGTTCTATGTGTTCTTGTTATTAACAAATTGTTCTGGTGTTAACGAAGCCCCCATTGCCACGTGTGCCCTTATTAATTCCATTTTGTCATTATATAGGTTAAGTGTTAGTATTATTGTTCTTAAAGTATTTTTGTTGATATTTGGCGTAATGTTAATTGTTGTTTGTGCGTTTGTGTTGTTTTTGGTGTTCTCTTTAAGATAAAACCATCTTTCAAAGTTGGTTAGGGCTCATCGTTTGTTATTCGAAAAGAGCTGGCGTGAACCTCTGGTTAAATCCAGCTAAAGCGGCCTTACTCGTCAAACAGACTGGATGAAGGGTATATATGAAAACGCTCATTTGTTAAAAAAAAAAAAAAATGAAAGGAATGTTAAAAATATATTAAGAAAACATAAAATGGAAATATAACATACAAAAACAAATAAGATTCATTAAAAGTAGCTTTAAGAGAAAAGATTATGGCAACAAATGTCTACATTGAAAAAGAAGAAAGATCTCAAATAAACAACCTGCTATTATACCTCAAGGAACTAAAAAGAGAAAACCAAACTAGGCCAAACTTAATTGAAGAAAATAAATAATAAAGAGCAGAGAATAAATCAATAAAATGAAGACCAAAAAAAATAGAAAAATCAATAAAGCAGATTTTCTTTTTGAAATGATGAAAAAAAAAACTTATATAGATGAAGATAAAAAGAGATAAAACATGTGCTCGCTTCGGCAGCACATATACTAAAATTGGAACGATACAGAGAAGATTAGCATGGCCCCTGCGCAAGGATGACACGCAAATTCGTGAAGCGTTCCATATTTTTAGAAGGATATGATTCTGTTTTCTCTGTTGTGAGACGTCATCAGTTTCGATGGAGTGAAATTCAGAAAGGAGTTCGTGAAGTGACCGAACCTCTGAATTTAAATCCAGCTAAACGGCCTCGTCGACAAGACTGGGATGGAGAATTATATGAAAACGGCTCATTTTATTTTGCTAAAAGACATTTGATAGAGATGGGTTACTTGCAGGGTGGAAAAAATGGCATACTATGAAATGCGAGCTGAGCATAGTGTGGATATAGATGTGGATATTGATTGGCCTATTGCAGAGCAAAGAGTATTAAGATATGGCGATTTTGGCAAAGAGAAGCTTAAGGAAATAAAACTTTTGGTTTGCAATATTGATGGATGTCTCACCAATGGCCACATTTATGTATCAGGAGACCAAAAAGAAATAATATCTTATGATGTAAAAGATGCTATTGGGATAAGTTTATTAAAGAAAAGTGGTATTGAGGTGAGGCTAATCTCAGAAAGGGCCTGTTCAAAGCAGACGCTGTCTTCTTTAAAACTGGATTGCAAAATGGAAGTCAGTATATCAGACAAGCTAGCAGTTGTAGATGAATGGAGAAAAGAAATGGGCCTGTGCTGGAAAGAAGTGGCATATCTTGGAAATGAAGTGTCTGATGAAGAGTGCTTGAAGAGAGTGGGCCTAAGTGGCGCTCCTGCTGACGCCTGTTCCACTGCCCAGAAGGCTGTTGGATACATTTGCAAATGTAATGGTGGCCATGGTGCCATCCGAGAATTTGCAGAGCACATTTTCCTACTAATGGAAAAGGTTAATAATTCATGCCAAAAATAGAAATTAGTGTAATATTGAGAAAAAAATGATACAGCCTTCTTCAGCCAGTTTGCTTTTATTTTTGATTAAGTAAAATTTCATGTTGTAATGTTACAGAGAGTGTGATTTGGTTTGTGATATATATATTGTGCTCTCCTTTTCTCTTTATGCAAGATAATTATTTAGAGACTGATTATAGTCCTTCTCAGATTTTTAGTAAATGCAAGTAAGAACATCATCAAAATTCACTTTGTATTGTACCCTGTAAAACTGTGTTTGTGTGCTTTCAAAGATGTCGGGATTTTATTTATCTGGGGACAGTGTGTATGGTAAGACATGCCCTTCTATTAATAAAATTACATTTCTCAAACTTGAAAAAAAAAAAAAGAGATAAAACATAAATAAAAATAATTAAAAGGAAAGAGAAGACATTACAACTGATATTACAAAAAGTAAAAAGGAACATAAGACTTTTGTATGGACAATTATATCACAAAAAATGGATACCCTAAAAGAAATGACTGTATTCTGAGAAACAATACAACCCACCAAGACCAAATCCTGAAGAAAGAAAATCTGAACAGACCAATAATGAGTATAAAAACTGAATCAGTAATAAATGTCTCTTCAAAGAAAAGTGCAGGACTTTGTGGTTTCACTGGTGAATTCTTCCAAACATTAAAGAAAGATTAATACCAAACCTTCTCAAACTTTTCTAAAAATTAAGACAGCAGGAATACTTTCAAACTGATTTTGCAAAGCCAGCATGACCCTGATGCCCAAACCAGATAGTAACATTATAAGGAAAGAAAGTTACAGTTCAATATCCCCGATGAACATAGATGTCAAAATTCTCAACAAAATTCTAGTAAATGGAGTTCAACAGCATATTGAAAAAATAATTTACCATAACCAAGTAAAATTTATTCCCAGGATTGAAGAATGGTCTAACATACACAAATTTAGAGATGAGATATACTATGCATTAAGGAATAATGACCAAAAAATATCATCTTAATAGATGCAGAAAAAGCATTTGTTAAATGTTCAAGATTCCTTCATATAAAAACTCTAAAAAATTTAGGTGTGGAAGGAATGTGCCTCAATACAATAATGGCCATATATGACAAACACACAGTTAACATAGTCAATGATAAAAAGTTGAAAACATTTCTTTTAAGTTCAGAAAAAAGACAAAGGTGTCCACTCTCAACATTTTTATTTGAATACTGGCAGTAATAGCCAAAGAAATTAGGAGGAGAAATAAAAAACATTCAATTGAAAAGAAAAAATTAAAGTATTGCCTTTTTAATATGACATGATATTTTATACAAAATTATTAAAATTGTTGAAACTAAGAAATTACTTCAGTAAATTTGGAGTTTGTAAAGTAAACGTATAAAAAAGGGTAGAGTTTTTGTACACTAACCTTGAACTATTAAACAGTAGAAGCGAAAAGAAAATTACATTTACAATAGCCACAAACATTAAAATACTTGGAAATAAATTTGTGCAAAGTGGTGAAAGACCTACACACTGAAACTGTAAAACAATGAAGAAATTAATGAAAGAAGGCATGAATAAATGAAAATATATCCTGCATGTTTGTGTATAGGAATAATTAATATTGTTAACGTGCCCATACTACCCAAATGCTATCTACAGATTCAATGCAATTCCTATCGAAATATAAATACTATTTTTATCAGAGGTAGAAAAAAACAATTCTAAAATTCATTTAAAACTACAAATGACCCTGAATAGCTAAAGCAATCTGGAGTAATAAGAACAAAGCTGAAGACATCACCCTATCTGACTTAAAAATATACTACAAAGCTATAGTAACCAAAGCAGCATAGTATTAGTATAAACAAAGACACATAGAAGAATGGAATAAAGTAGTAAGCCAACAAATAAATGCAGGCATTGACAGTCCATTGATTTTTAAGAAATTTGCTATAAGTGCACATTGGAGAAAAGACGGTTTCTTTAAGAAATAGTGCTGGGAAAAGTGGATATTCACATGCAGAGGAATTAAATTAGGCCCCTATATCACACTATATTAAAAAAATCAACTAAAAATAGTCAAAAGACTTAAATGTTAAGACCTGAAACTGTAAAACTACTAGAAGAACACAGGGGAAATGTTTCACGACATTGGAGTGGGCAGTGATTATTTTAATGTCTATCCCCAAAAGCACAGGTAAAAAAGTAATTCATGTGAGTAGGGGTTAATATTCAGACATATAAGGAACTCCTGCAACTCAATAGCAAAAATATAAATAACCTGATTAAACCATAAGGAAATAATCTAAATAGAAATTTCTCTAAAGAAGACATGCAAATGACCAACAGGTATGTAAAAACATTGTTCGACATTGTTAAACAAAGCTGAGAGCAAACTAAAACCACAATGAGATATTACTTCACACCTGTTAGAAGGGCTACTACAAAAAAGATGAATAAGTGTTGGTGAGTATGTGAAGAAAAGGGAAATCTTGAACACTATTGATTGAAATTTGAATTAGTACAGCTATTAAAAAAATAAGAGTCAAGGGAGGGAAAATGGTCAACTAGAAGTTGCTAGTGTTTTCTGCTCTCATAGAAAGAAATATAAGAGGCAAGTGAATACTACACCTTCCACTGTAACATTCAGGTGTATGTATGCATTGAAATTTATCCAGGAAACAACTTGACCCATGGAGAACAGAGAAGAGAAAGACAGGATGACTTGCCCCACCCCCACCCCGCCCCGTGGGAATAACATGGAGACAGGGGAGACTTTCCTGCCCAGGGAAACAGTGAGTGAGAAATCCCAAGAGCCTACATTTCTTCCATGAATCCTTGCAACCCTGATGTCAGGAGAGTCTCTTGTGAACCCGCTCCACCAGGGCCTTCAGTCTGGCATGCAGAGCTAGGTGGAGTCTTGGCAGAGCCATCACTCAGGCACATATTGAGTCCTGGGAGCCTTGGGTCCCTGGGCATTGTGGCAATAGCAGCTGCATCTCCAGCAAAGGGGCAGGTTAGCATCCCTTACACGCCCCGAGGCTGAATCCAGGGGCTGAGCAACAGTGGCAAGCAGGCTTTACTTTCATGAAAGCTTTCAGGAAAAGACCCACGGCCTGGGACTCCAGCCACCCACAGCCAATGTTCTTGGGCTGGCAGCAGCTACACAACTCCCTGAAATGAAACTCTCAGAGGAAAACTTGGGCTAGCATATTTGCGGTTTTGCAGCCTTTACTGCTATTGCCTTAAGGCTCTGGAAAGTCCAAGGTGACTAGGTACTGGAGCAGATCCCCAGTACAGCACAGCCACTCTTCAGGGAACTGGCCAGACTGTTTATTATGCAGGTCTCAGATCCCATTTTTCCTCATTCAGCAGGAGGTCTCAACCAGAGACTCCGCCCAATACCGGTTGGAAATATCAGGCCCTTAGCAGCTCCACACCCCCCTGGGACAGAGCTTCCACAGAGAGAAGTGAAGTGTCATTTTGCTTTCTTGAGTCCCTTGCTTTAGCTGCCTTCAGACTCTGTAGAGTCTGTGAGAATAAGGGGCTGGTGCCCAACCCCAGAACAATGCAACTGCTTAATGGAAAAGTGGCCAGCCTGTCTTCCATACAGGTCTCAGACATTACTTTTCCTCATTGGGAGAGGCTGCATGAACTGTGACTCCAGGATAACCACTTTGCTCCCAACTGATCACTTCAATAAAATGTGCTCAGTTTTTCTCTGAAGAGAAAATCCCAGAGTCAACCCACAACTCCTCCAGCATTGCAGCTGCAGCGGTACCTTTTTAAGCTCCCTCAGGCAGGGGAAGGAACAAAGGGCCTAGTTGCTATGCTGGCACCCCCAGTGCACAGCAGCCAACATATACAGAGAACTCCAGTCTCTCTACTATGGGAACTCCCATCTCCCACTCTTCACCAGGCAGGGACCCCAGCTCAGGACTGCAGAACAGCTACCAAACTCATGACTGAGAAAGCCCACTTGCTGTGGTTCTGAAATTTCCTGGGGAGAGGCTCCCAGAGGCAACCAACCGCTCCTCTGCCACTGCTACAGCAGTGGTTCTGCCCCTGCCGCCCTTGCTCTGAGGAAGAAATAAAGAGCCTGAGGGCTACACCCAAGTGTACAGCATGCCACAATCACCACATTAATAAGAGACCTGTCTCTCCTACTTGTGAGCCCTTGACCGCTTGCTCCACAACAACCAGAACCCCCAGCTCAGGCCAGCAGTGCAGTCACACCACCCTCTGGTTGAATACTCCCAGTAGTAACAGCTCTATGTTTCTTGGAGGTGGAGTTCCCAGTGGCAACTGAAAGCCCATCTGCCATTGCCTCTGCAGTGATACTGCCCCTGCTCCCCTCAAACTGAGGAAAGTGCAAAGACCCTAAGTGCCTTATCAACACTTCCAGCAAGCTGCAATTACCCTAAGTAGAGGAGGCCAGTCTGTCTCCCACAGGTCCTATCTACCATCCCTGCTCATTGCCAGGCAGAGATTCCCTGGTTTGGGCCCGCAGTGAAACCCCTTCCTTCTGGGATGGCCACATTGATTGATTGCAGCTCCACATCTCTCCGGAGTGTAGCTCCAGAAGAAAAGCGAAAGACCCTCGGGCACAATTACTGTCAGAGGATCTTTTCCTAGAGGTCTCTTCCTCTACTGCCTCCAAGTTGCGGAGGGAAGATGAGATCTGAGATCAACCCAGAGCTGTGGTGTGCAGCCTGGGTTTGCCAAGTCATGATCTGCAGCCAGCATTCAAGTGGGAGAGAAGCCTATGCTTTCAGAGCACTGAAAGAAAGCACAGCTGTAACTGGGAAGAAATACAGAGAAGTCACATGATTGAGCAAGAGTCTACATACTGACAATTATGCTTAAGTGCCACATACCGGATCATATCTAAAATGTTTAACAACAAAAATACTTTGTTTAAGTACTACCCTGTGAAATCAAAGATAAGAAGTTAGCTTCAAATCAAGACCCTGTGCAAAGTGTTTGCTCTCTGGAAACAGTGGGAAAAGAATTTTGCTGAATGTACTCAATCTACACTGCAGTTAAAGGAACACTCATACAGAGAAATAAGAAAGAATCGGCAAAAGAAATCTGGCAATTCAAATGGCCAGAGTGTCTTCTGTCCTTGAAGTAACCACTCTAATTCTCAAGCAAGAGTTCTTAATAGGGATGAGATGCCTGTGATGAAATAAATAGAACTCAGAATATGGATAGGAATGAACATCATTGAGATTCAGGAGAATATCAAAACTCAATCAATGCAAGGAATCTAAGAATTACAAGAAGATGATACAGCAGCTGACATATGAAAGAGCTAGGATAAAAAAGATCCTAACTGATCTCATAGAACTAAAAAAATTTACAAGAATTTCTTAATGCAA